CCCTCTCTATGGACTATGAGTCATGACAGGGTTTAGGTCTATTTAAAATCTGGGAGAGTCAGGCGCAACGGAGACCTTTTCTTCTCTCTTTGACGGCTGATTTATATTTTATAATTATTTCATTGCTGATTTCACGGAAAAATTATTTACAAATTACTTTTTAGGTTTGTACCTTTACAGTTTGAGTACAAAGAAGTTGACCCCCTTTTCAAGACCATTTCTACAGAAGTATTACTCGTAACATTTAATATTTTTCTGTCACTTCTCTTTATTTGATAGTGTAAAAGTCCTATACATTACAAACAGTTCCAACAGCAGAAATACTTTTCACATAGTAGCCTTTTAAAAGCACTTGTAATGCATTAACCTAATTAGATATTTATCAGCTAGCTATAGGTGGACTTTTTGTTAATTTATGGTAGATATTAATTGGAGAGATGTACTTAGAACTTTTTCATCACGTATGATAAGGCGAACTATAGATCATAGTAAGCAAACAATCTAAGTGTGTCATAAAATGGCTGTAATTTTGTGTGTAGGAATACCGAACTTGTGGATCTGGGTTCTTTATAAACTGTGTGAGGACTGAGTTTTGTATTGTTTGTAGCTTACATGTTATATGTGTAAGTGTAATGTCAATCCCTCTTGGGTAACGTGTTTTGTTACTGCATGTTTGGTATATTTTGATGATGTTTTGTGGCGATGTACCTGTGTTTTTACCTAACAGATTTTTTAGCATAGTTCGCTCGTCGTCATACTTTACTTTGGATTTGGTTCATATGTTTGGTCCACGTTAATTTAGAACCATAAGTCAAGCCTGAAGAATTTGCTGACGTAGAAGCCCGGAAAAGTGTTCCATGTAAGTACAACTAGAGTGAATGTCTATGTGCTTCAAAGGATTTCGGAAATAATACAACTTGTGTTTTTTTTAACGTTTATTCTATGTTTTTGACAGTATTCGACTATTTGGTTTAATACAGGTTGTAAGTTTGTAGCGGCTATTAAAGGAGCGGGAACTCTTCCAGACTGCCACATCATCAACGAACTGAGAGCCAAAACAGAATAGTATAGGGCTAACTACCCTTCCTGGGGGACACCTGCGTGTGGAATAAAGTGCTCTAGGTAGGTGTTCTCCACATTTACTCTACATTTTCTATTTTCCAGAAATTTCGATAACCAGTGGATAATATTTCGCGGTAATTTCATCTGTGACATAGGGAACTTTATACATCGATAAAGCAAGCGATAGGGAGTTAATGTTTTGTTAAAACTGTCTACTACAGTTTCAGTTAGTTTAACTAGGTGATCAGTTGTTTGTAGAAATTTTATGAAATGGAACAAGTTTGTATTTCTGGCCTGGTTTATTCTGATGTGTTTTCTAGGAAGGTGGTTAGTCTATTGCTTATTATTTATTTCTAAGATTGGTCGGTAGCTTTCAGGTTTATTCGCTGGATTTCCTTTTTTTTGAGGAACATGAGAACACGTTTTCTTCCAAGAGTGTGTCACCTAGTACTTTTGTTCCATAACAGCATTGGCCAGTTATCAGTTTCAGTTGACTTCATAGTTTAGCCACCAAAGGATATTTCAGTTCAAACTAGGCTCACTATACAGCACTGAAAAATCCGTGTGGGCAGAGAATGTCATCTAACAAACGAACAATGAGCGGAAATGATGTTAACCACGTTTTGCAACCACGAGAGTGTGGAAAGTAAATAGCTAATAATTTGGAATAGGTCGATAAAAGGTAGGGGTATATGCCATGCCTCCATACCGCATAATCAACGTTTCAGCAATAATTGCTCAAAATTTCGCACAGACAAATGCCCGATCTACACCCGTAGGTTTTGAATCGAGCGCCTTAAAAACTGTACTTGCCAGGCTGCTACATGCTACAGAACCCCAGCTTATTTTATTACAGTAGACAGTAATGTTTTTTTTTTAATCTCATGTATAAAACATCTGATAAAAACACTTACAAAAACAATGAAGCTTGTTAAAGAAAAGATTAGCCACTGAAAGGTGATAGCTACAAAATAGGATAATCATCAAAAACAGGTCAAATAATAAATATATATATATATATATATATATATACAAAAAAGTGGCTACAAAAACAGTTTAGCCGATTAAAGATTTAATATCTACAAAACAGTTTAGTTTCAAAAACGAATTAGCCACTAATTTGGGCTAATAAAACTTTTTTGGATGCACCACGTTTTTGCCTTTAGTGGCCAACACGAAATAATTGATTTTAGGCTGCAGAGCTCAACTCAGCCAATTACAGTCCCTAGGCTGTAATGATGCAAAACAGAAGTAAATTCCCCTATGTATGCATGTGTGTGTGTGTCTTTATAACAAAATTATGTTATTAATGCACGGTACCCATTTTTTAAGCGTTGAAAATTTAAATCACCAAAATATACAGGAAACTACATTATTCGAGGTTTCATCTGTTGACATAAGAAGGGATGCCCATCTTTTAACACAGTAAGTGAACTTGATATGTTCCACCCGTGTAAGGGAGGAGGGGGGGGGTGGCTCAGAAACAATTAACTGGTATAAACTCGTTCTATTTTTTTTAGGTCAGCAATAGAAGGGGAAGAGACGAACCTAATCATTTCGTATTATTGCGCAACACAAATGTCAAGGACGGTAGGCTTATGAAAACATGATGGTTATCAACTTAAGTATATTGGTTATCACGGTATATATCTGGTCCTTGCCAGAAATGCAAATTCATTTTGGAGTTTGCGTCAAAACTTAATAAAAGTAACGAATAATATCAAAGTAAATTTTTTTGTAGCAGTCGAATCTCCTCCTTCTGTATTTATGCTGCTTGGAAATTCAATAGCATAAAAAGACAATTAAATAACATTATGTTGTATTGCTACATATGCAAACTTTTTATTCTTAACTCTCAAATTAGGGACTCGTTTTACAACCGCTATCGGTAATTCTAGAGTTAAACTTTTTTAACTCTTGACGCACTGGCAACTGACCAGTTTCTGGATGTTCTACTAATACTTTTGTTTTTTTGGATAAGAATGTATAGCAATGCTGATGTGTGCATGAGTTTTTTCACAGAAAAGCCACTTCGGGCTATCTGCTGTGTCCATTGAAGGGAATCGAACGCCTGGTTTTACCGTTGAAAATCCGTATACTTACCGCTGCCCTACCGGGGGACCTTAAGATGCGGTAAACAGTTTTTACATTTTATTAAAACCAGTTGAGGGTACCCGTTCAGGAAGCAAAAATTGTATAAAGCAGAATGTTAGACAATGTTTCTCTTCCTTCTTTGTTTTGTTATTAAATCCTTCATTAGATATTAATTGCATACAATGCGTTGTGGAACGCAATAATTGTATCATTTAAGTTATTAAGTAATTATCATTAAATTTAAAGCCAAAGGTCTATAAAAAAGTGGAAATGTGCCCTATATCAGGGTCTTTTTTATCCCCATTCTCGGACAAAAATCCTAAAATAATGAAACTCACGTACACTGTCGGACAGTGTTCAGCTATCATACCAAAAATTACGTTAATCGAGCCAGCCAACTGTTTGTGGTGAAAGCCAAAAGTATATCAAAAAGTATAAGTTCGTCTTATTTCAAGGTATTTTTCTCTGGAAAAATATTAACACAAAATAGCCCTTTACACTTTCGAACAGTTTCCAGTTACCACACAAAAAATTACGTTAATCGAGCCAGCCAACTGTTTGTGGTGGAAGCCAAAAGTATATCAAAAAGTATAAGTTCGTCTTATTTCAAGGTATTTTTCTCTGGAAAAATATTAACACAAAATAGCCCTTTACACTTTCGAACAGTTTCCAGTTACCATACAAAAAATTACTGTAATCGAGCCAAGCAACTCTGGCTGATTCAAGCCAAAAGTCTGTAAAAAAATTTAGAAATTTGCCCTATTTCGTTTTTTTTTTATCCCATTCTCGGACAAAGATCCTAAAGCAAAGTAACCCATATACTGTCAGACAGTTTCCAGTTACCATACAAAAATTATGGTAATCGAGCCGGCCAATTCTGTGTGATACAAGCCAAAAGCAAAAGTCTGTAAAAAATGGAAATATACGTTATTTCAGGAGCTTTTTTGTCTCACTTCTCTGGAAAATATAAAAATGTAATCCATGTACGCCGTCGGACAGGGAATTATTATCAAGTTTATGAAGTTTATTGCTTTATAGACATATATGTGTGTGTGTGTATATATTATTAAACATATGATAAAAATATTTCACTCACCTCAATAAGCTATAGCTACTCAGCACTTAATAGCCCTCCACGGGTTTTTTCCCCCTGTGTGAACACCTGTTAGTGTTATCTTTGACTATGTATATACGTTGTATATACTTTCACTTTATAAGCTAACAGTGAGTGATGTAATACTGAACTCCCATTGGTCGGTTAGTCAGTCAGTGTATATGCACAGAACGTTCCTCCAATGAGAGAAGTTTAGTCTTTTCGCCAACAATGTGTCTTTACTAATGTTGGTAGAACTGATAAACAGAAGTATTGGTAAACAGTCAACAGCCCTTGGTAACATGTATAACAAATCAACAGTGTAGTTTTATGGATTATTTATAGCAAGATTTTTATATGAAAAATACATATTACCTGTTCCGAGACATCTTTTGGAGGAGTACTTTTTTATCCGCGTACCAGTATTGACTTAGCTTTTGTTTGACATAGAGATTTGGTGAGTCACTTGGAATGTGTGGACGTAATGGAAGTTTTAGGGTTAGATCAGAATATTAAGAAATGTTAATATCACTCAAATGTACATTTACTGTGGTATTGATAACAATGGATCCAAAAGTAAAGAAACGGCTCAAGAATTCTGCCTAATTTCCTCGTATTCTGTCAGATCTCAGATTTTGCTTTTTTTAGAAAAAAAATGCAATTAAGTCTGTTTAAAAGTATTAGTAAGAAAACACGTTCTCTTCTTGCATTCAGAACTGCTTTTGAGTTGTTTAAGGTACAAGATTATGATAGACAAGTGTGAACTTTTGCACAAACATTTCCTCGTATTCTGTCAGATCTCAGATTTTGCTTTTTTTAGAAAAAAAATGCAATTAAGTCTGTTAAAAGTAATAGTAAGAAAACACGTTCTCTTCTTGCATTCAGAACTGCTTTTGAGTTGTTTAAGATACAAGAGTGTGGTAGACAAGTGTGAATGTTTGCACGAACAAACCAGCCTCTATCTCTGGTATGATCCTTGGACCCACACAAACATATATGTGTAAGTACGTGAGTCAAATGTAGCCCAATTAAATTTTCCAATTGAAATGTCCCACATAGAGATCGACACTGTACAACTTAGAGCACATACAGTCATCATGTTGAGAAATAATAGAGCCTTAATGCATTCTCGGTTGATAAAATTCATTGCAAGATAGAGAGATGGAGAGAAGTAGACAGTTGTCATGGCAAACAAGTAAGCAGCCTAAGGCTAGAGGAGGAACTCTGTCGACGCTCGTGGCAAGCTCGTGGAAAGTGAAAAGAACATATACTTATTCTGTAAAACGTAGCAATTACATTTTTCCCAACTAAGGGTGAACTAAAATCAGAAATATAATATTAATTAGAAGCAACTCTTCAGGGCTAGGGTTAGTAAACGCGTTATATAACTATATGATAAGACCCTGGACTGTAGAAAGTCAATGTCACGTGAGTCCTGAGTCTGATACAAAACAGCTGAGTCACCTGAGTATGCGTTGTTTACGCGTGAACATAGGATAATTTCACGTCAAGCACCACCGGTTTCACCACATCACTGCGCTACTTGTGAGACAACTAATATAGGTCAGCATCTCTACAGAAAGTAATCATTTTTGTTTGTATAACTTAGACCGTTTTACTTATGAAAGTCTTTGGATAATCATTCATAATCACATTTATAGCTATGCTGAATATTGACGAAATCGATTCCAGCAGCTCTGACACAACTGTTATGAGAAACTGACCAAACTCTCTCTTATTTTATTACCAAACAGCTGATGTCCTCAAAGTATTAACATATGATGAAACCTAGCATTAAACATACGCACTTGGAAATGTTTATTTAACTCAGAAAACACAGTGTTTTTTTTTTCTATCCTGGCCCGGCATGGCCAGGTGGTTAAGGCACTCGACTCCCAATCTGAGGGTCGCGGGTTCGAATCCCCG